AGATTTTTCTTTTTTTTTTATAGGAGAGGGGGCAAACGAGCATGCGGCTCACCTGATGCTAAGTGACTACCGCCGCCCATGAACAACCGCAACACCAGGGAGGGAATTGCAGATGCGTTGCCGGCCTTTTAAAAAGGAGTACGCTCTTTTCTTGAAGGTCCCTAAGTCGTATCGGCCCGGAAAAATCGCTGATGGTAATCGATTCCACAAGGAAGTCGTGCGAGGAAGAAAACATCTTTTAAATCGCATAGTGGTGGACCGCCAATCATCTAGATGGTGTGGATGGTATCGGGAGTTCTGCCGCGATGTGCGTTTGTGAAATTTGGCGGCTGGGATTAATCCGAACAATTCCTCAGAGCATTACCCATGGTAGATGCGAAAGAAAATGTAAAGGGATGCAACATCTCTTCGCAGTGCCAATGAATCGAGCCGATCGGAAGGGATCGGTCGTCGACGATTCGAGACGCTCTGCGCTGGATGCGGTCAAGTGGAAGGAGCTGGCACTGGGGAGCCCCTGCCCAGAGATGGGAACAGTATTCCATGTGAGGCCGAACCTGCGCCTTGTAAAGTTGCAGGCGGTGTGCCGGCATGAAATACTGTCCCGCTCTGCTGAGCACGCCAAGCTTTTTAGAGGCCAATTTGGCCTTCTCTTCCAAGTGACCACGAAACTGCACGTCACTCGATATGGCGACTCCGAGGATACCGATACTGGCTGAGGCAAAAAGAGGAGTGCCTTGAAACGGAGGAGATACGACAAAGGGGTTCTTTTTAGCGGTAAACGCGCAAACTTGTGTCTTCTGAGGATTGAACTGGACTAGATTTAGTCGCCCCCAATCCGAGACTTTGTTCAGTAAAGACTCGACTTCAGACACAAGTTTGTTCCGGTACTCGGCGACGTTTTGAATATTGGCACGGCCGGTGTATAGCGCATCACCAGTGCTGTCATCCGCATAGCAATGAATGTTACCAGTTAGCAACATATCATTGATATGGAGAAGAAACAGCGTTGGTGATAGCACACAGCCTTGTGGAACACCAGCGTTAATAAGCTTGTAGTCAGAACATGCACCGTCTACAACGATCTTGATGCTCCGATCTGCAAGGAAGCTGGTGATCCAATTGCACAATTTCTCGGGAAGCCCATAGGAAGGGAGCTTCGAAAGAAGCGCTTTGTGCCAAACCCGATCGAAGGCCTTCGCAATGTCCAGACTAACGGCCAACGCCTCCCCCTTGGACTCTACTGCCTTCGCCCATCTATGGGTCAGGTAGACTAGAAGTTCCCCATCAGACAAGCAGATCGACCCCGACGAAAACCGTATTGGCGGTCACTAATCAGCTGGTGATCCTCAAGGTACCGGATGAGCTGGCAGTTAATAATGGATTCCATTATTTTGGAGAACAAGGAGGTGATCGCGATAGGCCTATAGTTGGACGGGTCTGTTTTTTAGGGATCGGGTGGACAAAAGCTGTCTTCCATGAATTCGTGACTACGCCTTGGGAGTAGGAGTACCGGAAAAGACGCGTTAGGATCGGTGCCAACTCCGGAGCACACGTCCTCAGCACAATTGGGGGGATTCCGTCAGGCCCACTCGACTTCTGGATGTCCAGGGAGAGAAGTACTTTGCGAACCGAGCGCTGTGAAAACAGCACATCCGGCATGGAGCACTCACACCGCGGGATGGTCGGCGGTGTTTTCCCCCCGTCATCAACAGTCGAGTTGGACGCAAAAAGGGAGCCTAAAAGGTCAGCTTTGTCTTTTGCGTCTTGGGCCAGCGAGTCGTCCTCCCTGTGCAGAGATGGTAGTGATGGCTTACAGAAATTCCCTTGGACAGCCTTAGCGAGAGACCAGAATGCACGGGTTCCCGAAGGAAAGCGAACTAGTCTCTCGCCAATTCTGCTCATGTGCTCTGACTTTGCCTTGGCAATAACTCTTTTGAAGGATCTGGAGGCGAAGTTATACTTCTTTTTAAGTGTGCTGGTGTTTACATCCCGAGTCGCCGAAGCCGCAGCCCAGGCTTGATAACACTCCTGCTTACTGCGTAATGCAGTCTTACAGGAGCGACCAAGCCAAGGCTGAGATCTGCCTCCGATGGGTACCACAGATGATGGAATAAATAGTTCCATTCCCTGTAGAACCATATCAGTGACAGAGTCAGCAACAGCGCTAGGATCATCCGGCGAGAAGCAAACCCGCCCCCATGGGTAGGATGCAAAGAAAGACCGCATTCCGTCCCAATCCGCCGACCTGTAATGCCAAACACGGCGGCAACCTGCAGAACGCAACCGCGAAGGGGGCGTGAGTGGCACCACACTCCGGATCAGACAATGGTCCGAAGAGCCGAGAGGGGCATCGACGGAAACCGGATATCCGTCTGGATGAGAGGTCAGCAGAAGGTCCAACAGGGAAGGTGTATGATCCTCCACATCTGGAATCCGCGTAGGCGAAGTAACCAGTTGTGTCAGACCATATGCCAAGGCAAAGTCATAAACAGATCTCCCCGCATGATCGGTTAAACGTGAACCGAGCCATTCGGCATGGTGGGCGTTAAAATCGCCAAGGATCACGATCTCTGCGGATGGGACCTGTTGTAGCAAGGAATCTGTAGCCATTTGGACGTGGTCGATGAGTCGGTCTGTTTCGGCATTACCGCTATGGGACCTATAGAGGCACCCGTAGACGCGCGGATGGTCGTCGCTGTCTACGCGTAGCCAAAGGATGGACAGGTCCGAACCTTCAAGACTGCCGAGGCGTCGAGAACAGATGTCCTCTCTGACATACACGCAAACTCCAGCCCGAGGCACAAAGGAGTGCTCCAATTTGTACCCCGGGTAGGAGAAATACGAAATATCAGCCGGAGAGGAAACCTGCGTCTCTGTCAGAAAGAGCAAGGCTGGCTTCGTCGTCTCAAGATGGTAGTGAACGGCGTTTAGGTTAGAGTGAAGTCCCCTGATGTTGCAGAAATTCACGGATAGCGTGGCAGGGGTCGCCTTGGTATTGTTGCTCAGTTTGCCCCGAGCAGTTTTGTTTTTGAGCGGAATTTTGCCCCCCCCCCCCCCCAGAATACGCGGGGCAGTCTGAGCACCCACGCTCAGGATCTACCTAAAGTCAACATCTCGGCATGCCAGGATCACTCCCCGAAGTTGCTTGCAACATCATAGGACTGTTGAATTTCTTCGGGGAGATCTCATGGCTCGAATAATTTCATTATTCCTACCCACACGCTAAATACGCACTTATACGTGGAGTTGCGAAAAACAGTCCGTCGTAAACTAAACTACCTAAAGTCAAGAAAAGCTAAACGCCTTAGCTATTTTATGAATAGAGTCTGAACTCAAAATTAATGAACAAGATCTCATCCGACAATTGATGATTAGAACAATAGAAAATTACGCAAATAGGTGTTGTAAAACTTTCATAACTTAATTAATTGAATTTCATCGTCATTATCAGTCGGATTGTTTCTAGGTAACTGAATATATTATTTTTAAGCTGTAAGTAAGCTCACTAAAAATTATTTAATAACGTTTGCCGTTGCAGAAGTAACTATGTCAATATACCTGTGACGCAAATTTCAACAGTTCGTTGCAGTGAAAATTTTAGAGCAACTATTTTTTAGATTTGGTACCTAATTAACACCTAAAAAGTTAATTTGGGCTTTTTCAAAAAGTAATTTTGATTCTATTCTGATTTTCAGAAAACCTGAATTTTGCATCTGCTTTGTTCTGAATTAAGACTTTATTTTTATAAGGGGTGCCTTGTCATTGCCTATACTTGCAGCACCTCCTTGCTATTAATATTTATCGTATATCTATTATCGTCACTGCGTTACTAGCGATACGTTTAGCCAGCAACGCAAATTTCAACAGTTCGTTGCGGTGAAAATGTTAGAGCAACAAATTTTTAAACTTGGTACCTAATTACCACCTAAAAAGCTCCTAATTTTGGGTTTTTCTAAACGCGAATCCCTGACTTTGCGTTGCTGGCGAGACACAGCTACAATAATTGTATTAATTACGAGAAAAGGGTGGCGTATTTAGAAAGATAATGCACAAATCATCAAGTTATAATTTCATTGACAAAAAATTGTAATATTATTTTGAACTAGGGCATCGAGTTGTAGAAGATCGGTAGGGGCGGCAAAATTAGAATAGCCTACTGGCAGCAAATGTGTAAATCCGCCACTGGAATTTATTGATATTTATTGTTCTACTTATTAAGTACAATGAAATCTGTTACTGCAAAGAAAATTCCGTTTATTATCATAGTGTTAGGTCATTCTTTATACAAAATTTTAAAGAACTTTTAAATACTTACCTACATACTGAAACGTCTTTAGAAATACTGATTATTTACAATGTGGTATTACGTACATATTTATATTAATTATTATATCTAATTAGTATATTTAATAGTACTTTCCAATAAACGCCTGTGTTATTGTTCTTTGAAACGATTAAAATCTTTAACAGATACATATATTTCTTAAAAACAAAACGTCAGGATTGAGGGGCCAGATAGAATTTGTTTCATCAACAAATTAATATATTTATACGTTTTGTATTGTTTTATATTTATACTAAAATAAGGAATTATGTGCATACTACTAAGTAAACACACTTAATTGTCAAAAATATTTATCGACATGTATTCCAGTTGTGAGGTGGTTGTAAGTGACTCCTCTATTCAAACGTTTGAATTGAGGAGTCACCTTTAACCTCGACAAAATCGGACAATTTACTTTTAAGTACAGAATATTTAAATATAAAAATGGCTCCTCAATTCATGCGGACGCTTTACGTTGTTATAGTTATTTTTTTGTGTTTATTTGTAATAATGGTTATTTGAAAAATGACGAATACACGTACGCGATAGATTTACGTTAATTTAGTTCCAACATAGTTTGAGTCATTCTTAGTTTCAAAGGATGCCAATGATTTCCATTTCATCCTGTATAATCTATTAACATAAATTATTTCACGAAATATTTATTTTTTTCTAGACAAAGAAAGTTTAACAGCATGGAGCCACACAAATACATCGGAAGCAGAACGTCCGCGAATGTGGGCAGCGCGCTCTGTGCTGGAAATGAATGTACCCAGATCCGCGCATGGCAAGCACTTAACGTGTCGGGCGCACCATCCTTCCTTTCCGCCACCTTACTATCGAGATTCCTTTACTAAATTAGATGTTACCTGTAAGTAAAAAAAAATATCTATACGCGTAAATAAAACTGCAGTGTTTGGTAATTTTCTAATTATCAACTTCGAAATTGTTTTCTGATAATATATTAGATATTTAACATAAAATAATAATAATAATTTATTGGCACAAAGTAAGGTTTACATTATTTATCGTTAAGACATTTGAACATATGATATGAGTTATAACTTATCTATACAACTTTATGCACTAGCGTATAAACTAGGCCGAGCCTGTATCTTAGACACTAGTCTCTTTCAATGACACCATTATTTGCAGTTATAAAAGTATACGGCGTATTATGATTTACTTAATCTATTACGTTACAAATTCGCAAATACATTAGGCACCACTTTTTTGCGTTTACCATCACACTAACTTATTATGATATAGATATACATTCTGTAAACACTAGGAACAAACACAAGCTAGTGATGCTAGTTTCTCGACTTCACAGAGTCAGTAATTCATTCTTGGGGCAATGTATACACTATTACAACAAGGTCCCGGAAAGTGTACAGGTTCTCTCTATTACCAAGTTTAAATGTTTTATTAAGCTGAAACTGTATAAGAAGGGTTATTATAGTATAAATGAATACATGGCTGATAATAACCCCTGGGAATGAGGTGATCGCTTCCAAGCAGTTTCTAAAATAAATTTTGTAAATAGTTCGTAATCATTTATATTGTAAAATTTATTAAAAAAAAGTCCCGCTGGGTTTCTTGCTGGTTCTTCCCAGGACAGAGGGTTTTTTTCGAACCAGTGGTAATGTAAAAATGACTTTAAATAATAATTACACATGTAATGTATATTGAATAAAAAGTATTCTATTCTATTCTATTCTATGCGTATGAAAGGTTAGACTACTATTTATAGGAACTTTATTAATTTTTTAATTCTAAATGAAAAAAATCTTACTTAAAAAAATGTCTGTCCATTTGAATCCATATGGGTTGTATATGTATACAACATGTAACAAAATCCCTGTGATTCCCGTTAAGTGCGTTATCAGAATCAGTATTCAAACGTATAGAATATACTCCTCGGCAGGATTTTGCCACGCTCACGCTTGGCAGGCGGGTTGGGATCCGCACCTTTTTAATATTTTGGGTTGTTATCATCATAAAGATACTGATGCCCATCTTCCGTATCAGTTTTCCTCTGTCGTCTCTTACTCCACTGGACGATATGGAGTAGTGAATATTTAATGATTTCTTATATTTACGCGAACACTACACATTTAAATAAAACTAATTTTACGGATTTTATCGCGTGTATTTAACTTATTTTATATTCCCGACGTTTCGAGCACTTTACAGCACCCATGGTACGGGGGGACTGAGGTGTATGACGTCCCAATGTCATAGTTAACCACGGCTACCTACAGATTAAATTTTTAAATATAATATAATTTTAATGCTTGTTAAATATAATATAATTTTAATTAAAACTTGAATCTGGAGGTAGCCGTGGTTAACTATGACATTGGGACGTCATACACCTCAGTCCCCCGTGACTATTTAAAAATTTAATCTGGAGGTAGCCGTGGTTAACTATGACATTGGGACGTCATACACCTCAGTCGCCCCCCCTCCCCGTGACCATGGGTGCTGGAAAGTGCTCGAAACGTCGGGAATATAAAATAAGTTAATATACGCGACTAATCCGTAAAATTAGTTTTATTTAAATGAGTAGTGGATATTCTTACACCGCCAGTACAGACCAACAACGCAACACAGACCTGTGTTGCGTTCATGCCCGCGGAAATGCTTTAAATTCTCTCTGTCTCTTGCTCCATTCCCCTTCCCCCTATCTATATATATTATATTTCCCCTAATGATATATTCTATCGAATATATTATTTTGTATTTTGTACATTAGACAAGTACTAATTTTGGAAAAAAAATGCTCTATTATATTTATATATCATTTTGTATTTTGTGCATTAGACAAGTACGAATTTCGGAAAAAAATGTGCTCTATGATATTTATATCTTATTCTTTATAATGTGATAAAATGTAAAAAGAAAAGTCTCATAAACTTACCACTGCTAGGCACATGTCTTTTCTCATTATTGAAAGGGAATAGGGGCGTGAAGAGCTCGCTTGACATATTCTTTTTAATTTTTCGAGCATGCACAGACGCTTGTCACTATTTTTCTACATCAAATGTGTAGAATTTTCCTTTAACGTTACAGGTGTAATCACTATACTTTACTCCATTTCGTTTGTAATTTAAATTATGTAGCAGTGTAACGGATTCTGTTTTTCTATTTCATAGGCCTTAGAAAATCTGTTACAGACCTCTCGAGTTGTAGAGAGGCTTTACCTTAATCGCTTAGCGCTTCAAAAGGATGTTATACTATGTCAGCAGCAATACAACTCGCACGAACTTTGACACTGTTCTCCATCGTCGGCTGAATATTTTACGTCTAGCAAAAACGAGATAGTTAAACATCCATCTATTGAAAGCCATGATCTGGCATTCCTTGAATTAGCGACTCATTTATAAAACAATGTTTACACTTTTACCATAAAATTCAACAAAAAAATATTCAAAGTTTATCAATCAACAAGTTTAAAAATTGTATTAAGGAAAAGCTGCATAAAAAGGGTTATTATAATATTAAAGAATATGTAATCGCTATCATGCTGGTTATTTTATAATTCATATAAATCATTGTACGAAATTATTGTAAAATTATTTTTAACGTGATAGAACCATGCTACAGATATATTGTGGTTGTAGCACAAATGGTTCAGCTCAACCGAGGTAGGTAGTGAGAGCGTGCTCACAGAATAACACCGTAAAATAGAAGCGTAAGGATGTATTTCATATGGTGAGTGTACAGAACCGGAGAATATTTACTGGAAACGAGGCATTCCATCTTAGTCCTCAGGGGTAACAACGCATCTGCATATTTTTTTTTATAAAATAAGGGTGACAAATGAGCACACAGTCCACCTCTGCGAATTAAAATGCAGATGCGTTGTCAGCCATGAGGACTAAGATAGAATGCTAATGTTCCAGTAAAAAGGGTATCCGGTTCTCTACACTCACCATACGAAACACAGCAGCATTAAGCTGCTATTTTACGCTGGTATTCTGTGAGGGCGTGGTCCTTCCCCGGTCGAGCCGACCCATTCGTGTTACAACTATACTATTAATATAACTGCAGCAGGGCTCTACCACGTAAAAGCATCATCATAATCTTAATTGAGAATAAATGTTGATGTCTGGGCATTAGCATCCACTTACCATCAGGTAAACTGTGTGATAGTTTGTTATCCTTATTCTATAACTAGCTGTGCCCGCGGCGTAGCTCGCGAATATAGGTTTTACTTAAAACAATTTGACGTTTAGGGTAAGAGAATATTAAACGATTTATATCATTACTGTATGAATAAGTGGTAACAAAATAAATCGATATGCTCAAAGTTCTAAGTCGTTTATGATAGTGCTTCTGTGTAAACGACGATAGAAGTAGACAGCCGGGGCGTACAGAAAAAGCTTACGGGGACTACTAACGCGGGAAAAAGCAACATAGAGTTGGCCATGTGCAAAACAATCAGTACTGAGATCCACTCCTGCAACGCGTAAAGTTTGACCTTGCGCTTTATTTACGATCGTCGCATAACACACGCTGAGTGGGAAACACACTTAAAATAGGGATGTTAGATGATCATCGATGTTAAAAATTAAAACTTCGATGTTTTAACATCGATGTTGACATATGTCAAACATCGAAACATCGACGTCAATGAACCCATAATCGATAATTGGGAACTTGCAAACAATGCGAACTCGCGAAATCAATATCAACTAAATCTTGCATCTGCTCTGAAGATTAAAAATTTTGAATAATTCAGAATTTCTGAACGCATCGTTAACCTAAAAAAATGTAAGTATGGTGAGTCAAACTTAATTGTCAAGTGTCTCCTGTAATGTCACAATGGTCACTGCTTTCGCTTTATTTTGTAGTGTCGTTATCGGTTGTCGCATAATAACTATTCTACGTAAATTGATATTCAAGTTAATTGTTACTTTTCCCTTGCTGTGTATACCCACATAATTTTGAAACAATGTGTAAGCATCTACACATATACAAAAACCATCGATAATGGTCAACATCGATGTTTTGAGTAGCCTAAACATCGAACATCGATGTTGAGCTGTCGATGCCAACATCGATGTCATCATCGATGTTATTATCCCTATCTTAAAACTGAAGCCTGAGCCGTGGTAGCTCAGATGGTTAGCGCTCGCTGTAAGCTTCACAGTACTCGAGCAACCCGGGTTCGATCCCCGCCGGCACCAATGAAATTGTTAATTGCAATTTTAAGTGCTGATTTACCACGTGCTCGGCGGTGAAGGAAAACATCGTGAGGAAACCTGCATGTTCGCCAACACGTATTGGGGCAGCGCGGTGGACATTTCCTTGCCCTAAAACCCTCTCAGAAATGAGAGGAGGACTGTGCCCAGCAGTGGGCCGTAAATAGGCTGCAACTTTACTTTACTTAAAACTGAAAGGAAAGTTATTTGGTATTAGAGGGATTCTGGGTATAAAACAATATCACTATCACGACATTTATTGCAATTTTGCTACTTTTAGTGTTTAGTCGAGTTTTGTAATTTTGTTGAATAATTGAATATTTCCATATCTCTTTTTTCTGGTTTTTGTTTCTGGAGTTTTTTGTTATGAGTTGTTAGTCTACAAGACTTACAGGCAGGCATAGATAACTGTATATATACCTTACAGGCTTGCAACTTCGTCAGACTCATGGAAATAAATTATTTCAGTGAGTCTCAATACGATTCACCTGCGAAAAATCTTAACACCGCAATTCAGAAAAGGTTGTAATTTGTACAACGCCATCTATTACGTTCTTTGTGAGAAAACATCCTTTTTTAATTTAAGGAAAACATGTTTTTTACTGTGTTTTAAGTACTATAATAGAACGATACATTAAAGTCAAGTACATTTCAAAATAATAATCATAACTTTCGATAGAATTAACCAATTTCAATAAAACAAAGATTAAATGAACTTGATATCACATTTGTGCCACACCACCATCTATCGATGAAATTGGTTAACTATTGTACTTTAATTTAGTTTAGATAATAAGGTTAATATATTTTGTATATATTTATTACGTTCTTTATGTAATACTTTTGTTTACTGCCTTTTAGATATAATTATATCATTATAGAACATTATTTTACATCATTTAATTATGATTTATAATATGATATTAATTTTAAAATGTACTTGATGACTCATCCAACACCACTATTGAACAAATTCGTACCTATACTTAGTACCCATACTTCAGAATATTTGTCATAACTTTTGATGGAATTAACCAATTTTAATGAAATAAAGACTAAATGTAACCTGAATATACACTTAATAATTTCCTTAACTATTCTTATGATATAAATTAGTACTTTATACGTGATACGTTAACAAACAAACAGACAGACAGACAGACAGACAGACAGACAGAAAAATCTAAAATGGTAGAAATGTATTTGATTATTTATTTTTAGTACCTCTCAATCAATTTTATTACAAAAATATAAAATGTACAGACATCTACTATTTACATTTTTATTATATGTATAGAAGATAAAAAAATATCTGTCTAAAAATATTTCTCATGGGTTTCTTGCTAGTACTTCCTAGGATAAAGATCATTTCAGAAGCAGTGGTAAATTGAAAAATTGTATTTTAATAAGTATAATCTAATATCTCTCTAATATATGTAACGAATAAAAATATTCTATTATATTCTTTTCTAACTTCGCCACCACAGGCAATCTTACACATTTACTGAATCATTACAGTCGTACCGGTAGTCTCCATAATCGGAGCGGATGCAACCGAGCTCTCTAGTCTAGAGGAGAATACAAGTCTATTGTCCTTAGATTGCCAAGCAGATGGTAACCCTAAACCTTATGTATGGTGGACGAGGAATGGTCAAGTATTTGCTACTGGTCCCAAGCTTAAACTTACCCCTGTTATGAGGAATCATTCTGGTGAGTAAACACTGCTTCGCTAAGGAAATAAAAAAAAATTATGATATTAGTTTCTTACAGACTTGTCAGACTAGGCTTCACCAAATTAAAAGTTTAAGAAAGAAAAGTTTAAATTAAAGTTTAAGAAAGAAAATATTTTAAAACTTAATATATAATTGGTAGTATCACTTTAAGTTGTATATATAATATTAGTTTTAACTGCTTAGTACTTAATGTTTCATTTATGAATACCATTTAGTTAGTTTTATTCTTTTATATTTTTTTAATTTTTATACAACATAATATTGTGGTAGCAAGCTTTTATTACGGATAGATATAGATATCTTTTATATGTTTTATTATGTAATGTATTATTGTACTGTTTGTTTCTCTTAAAAAGTAATAAAATAAATAAATAAAAAGTTAAAGGTAAATCTACACTTAAAAGTGCAATAACCAATTTAATTGGTACCGGCAGGGATCGACCCTGGTTTATCGGGTACTGTGAAATTTACATCGAACTACCATAGCTATAACCTAAAATACGATAAATAAATAAGCTCATTATCGATACTGGTACATTTTATACAAAACAACGACATCGAAATGTCTAACGTCGACCAGGAAAAAAAGTCATCCAGGATTCCTACTAGAGTAACACAATCGCACAGCAGAATATGTCGTGGTAGTGAAAAAAATAAACGGAAAGACATCAGCAAAAATTATTTTAAATGGTTTTTATAGCATTTTGACCAGCCACTAAATAAAGTATATAACATTACGAATAAAATCAATATCCATCATCATCATCATCCATTACAGCCTATAAAAGTCCACTGCTGAACATAGGCCTCTTCCATAGATTGCCTAAAGGATAATTTTGCTATAGTTGCCACGCTTGGTAGTTGGAATGTCATAATTCTGAGTTGTAATCAGGATGATGCTGCTGTCCATCTTTCTTTCTCTCTGTCGCCTCTTACGACACCCACAGAAGGATGGCGTAGTGGGTATTACACCGCCATTACACGGTCAAATATCATCGGTCGGTAATTCGGGGTCGAAATAATATCGCCAAATATTTAAACGCTATTCAATTTTAAGATGTCGTTAGTTCTCGTGGTGTCACAGTCACTTTGATTTAAAATGATAGAGACAGCACGTTACTTAAAGGCGTGTTAAAATTGAGAAGCATTTGAGTATTTGGGCATTATAAATACTCTTAATGAAAAGTTAAGGCGACTTCTGAAAGCTTTTAAAGTCGGTCCTTTAATACTTCTATACACTGTAATTTAGCACCGAATTGTGAAGATATTATGTGGAAATATTTTATTCATTTTAGTTCTTTGAAAACGGTTTTTACTTTTTATGAAAAGTCTTAATATAGATTTGATATTTCCAAGACAGGCTTTAAGTAAGTCTGTTTAACTTTTTGAAATTAAGAAATAAAGTTATGAATAAGTTTTTTTTAGGTACTTATGGATGTCAAGCGAGAAATTCATTGGGGACATCCGATTCAGTCAAAATTGATATTGACGTTAAATGTAAGTATTTTCGGATGATATATATATTTTATATTTACTTTATTTAGTTCTAAAATAAATTTTATTTACTGATTCAGTTCCACCTCGCGTTAAATGGGTGGGTCCTGACATAGTTGTGGATACAAATCTCTTCTCAGAAGTAACTCTAGAGTGCAATGCTGAAGCAAATCCGTCTCCAGTTTATCAGTGGTATCACAGGTAAGTATTTAAATAAAAAGTTAACGTAATTGACAACTATTTAATCTAATTTTATCTAACCGTAACCTGATTTTCTTAACAAAAGGAAATGTGACAAATGAGTAAACAGTTTAACTAATGGTTAATGGTTACTGTGGACCCTAAATATCCATGCATATTTATCCTAGATTAAGAGTCAAAATGCAGATGTGCTGATATTTTCGAGTTGTTTTACCCTCACCATACGAATGCAGCAATATTACGCTACTATTTCTGGTATTCTATGCCATACAGCCCATCGAATCAGTAAGCTGAAGTGGCTATGGGCCGGCCATATACTTCCAAGAACCGATAACTAATTTTCTCAAGAAAGTTTCTCAAGTGGCAGCATCGTACAGGTAAGTGAAATATATGGTGGGTCGGAACAAGCTGGAGAGACGACCGGGATGCTGTACCTTGGATAAAGCTTGTGGTCAGCTGTGGACTTGTAATGATGACGATAATGATAAATCTGTGCGGGTGTGATCCTTATATACAGCCATAACAGCCTCAGCATGGTTTTATCATTTAACTTCTGTTGACCCTATATCGTCGCTGGAAGTACAGACATTGGTAAAAATTCGAATTATTCATCCCAACATAATCCAAAATATTAACAATAAGCTTAAATTAAATTTTTTGATTATCTCCTATCCGTTCTTTTAAACCACTGATTAATGTGATTACGATGGTCCTGATAGTTAGCTTATGCACTAAACGTATCTTTGAACAAGGTATGAAGCCTGCTGCTAAAGCCACTGATCTGCCTACGTCATTTTAAAGTCATAACTTCAGATAGTGGCCACATATTATTTAAATTCACATATTAGACATTGTGAGTCCTTCACAAGGTGAGGCCAGACAAATTAGGGCACCGAATACACCACTTACAAAGTAAGTCATCTACCGATCACAGTATAGGTATGTGTGGTAGACAAAACCACCACAGTTTTTAAGGGATTAGTTTTACTTACATGCACAAATTAGTAGACCCGAATTGATAATTGCATTTTGAATAAACTGTTGTCTCCAGCTGTATTAGGGCCCGGGTATTATTTGAAATTTCCTTTATCCGTCTTGTTTCCAGGATGAGTTCACTAACAGAGATCACAGTACGAGCATGGTAACAGTGAACAGGGTAATAGTAGCGTTTGTTTTAATAAAGCCTATTGTAAGTTTTAATATCTTATTACTTGTTTATTACATCTATTGTTTTCAAAGTGAAATGACTGTAATTGTATTAAATGATTGTAATGGGTATGAATTCAAATCTTTGTTTAATATACTTACCTATTAAGATAAACGTTAACAAATACTAATAGTATTTTTGCAATTGCTTCTGATATTACAGTTTTTACATGTAATGCAATAAGTCACACTTAGTTTTCTGAAAGCAATACATTGTGTTTATTCAAAAATGTACACCATTGTATTTTATAAACGGCACGGCATTGAATTCAATTATACACTGTGCCTAAACCACAGTTTGTAATATCTTTATTATATAAAATTCTCGTATCGCGGTGTTTGTTATCAAACTCCTCCGAAACGGCTGAACCGATTTGTATGAAATTTTGTGTGCATATCGGGTAGGTCTGAGAATCGGCCAACGACTATTTTTCAAACCCCTAAATGATAAGGGTGACCCACCCCTAAATATTATTTTATTTTTTTCACCAAAATTTTAATTTTATTGTGATTTAGCATTGACAAATACATAAAACTTAAAATTTTCACCCTTCTACGATCAACCCCTGTTTTTTAATAGGTTTGTCGGGTCAGCTAGTAGTTTATATATCACAACATATTAAGAAAGTTCGAACATTTATAAAAGGAAATCATCAACAATTTTGCTTATCTTTTTATACATTAAGGAATTTCCACCACCAAATTGATATGGCAAATGGTAGGATATATTTCTTTTATGGCTGGAAGTCCGTTTGGCTTGTGACCACACACTTACCTATTTCCTGCCATCAAATCCATTTTAAGGGTACAAGAGCCGAGTATAAGCTGTGTAGTAGTAGTAGTAGTAAGAGTATATAAAAGTACACTCACAAGTGTAATAATAATCCTATATAATCAAATTTATTAATACAATAAAGAGAGTCTTATATCATCATTCGTTTGTTTAACTCCTCTCCTAACATTCGCCCTTCAGCTGTATGAAATTTCATCTTAGTCCTAATTCATTGGTGACAACGCATTTGGGACTCTTTTTGTGAGGAATTGGATTATAATGACCATGGGATGTTACGTGGTAAGCAAGTGAGCGTGATAGATCCATGCTGCAGCATATTTCTTCACGAATGAGTAACGACTCCAAGAGGGCAGAACCACGCTTTCACAGAGTACCAGCGTAAAATAGCAGCATAGTGCTGCTGTGTTTTTGTGTAAGTGTGTGTTGGTACAAAGAACCGGCGACTGTTTTACTTATTACGGGGTATTTTATTTTAGTCCTCAGGGGTGACAATGCATTTGCATTGTGATTCTTAATCAATAATAGGTGTTTTTTGACTTCGGCATTCTCTTACCATTAGGTGAACTGTGTGCTCGTTTGGTCATTCTTAGTCCTATAAAAAGCAAAATTTGTTTCATAATAGGTACTTTTTTTATAAAACGTTATTTGTCTTTCGTTTCTTACAGCCCAGGAACAAGAACTATTCATAATTTATTCGAAGACGCGTACTTAATATCATCCACCGCTCAGTTACAATTGCATAATGTGTCGTACCATCAGAATGGACAGTATATTTGTATCGCTAAAAACCTTATTGGACATAAAGAAAGGTTAGTATTCATCCTTATTTCCTCGTTGATTGAACAATGTTCTAATATATATAAATCTCTATACACACACACACACACACACACACACACACGCACGCACCCACGCACGCACCCACGCACGGACGCACGCACGCACGCACGCACAAACGCATGCACGCACGCAAGCACGCACGCACGCACGTATATATATATTTACATATCATTGGCTGCCATACCATTCATCCGATTACGACAAAACTTTGGTAAGTTGTTGTGTGCACGCCCGCAAAGGCTATGACTATTTGTTTGTTTGTTCGTGTTAATACCATTCATCCGATTACGATACAACTTTTGTGAGTTATTGTGCGCGGCCGCGAAGGGTTCGGCCTATAAAAAAGAGGCTTAGCAATTTATTTATTTATTTGTACACTTTATTGTACTAAAGGTACAAACGCGGACTTAATGCTATATGGCATTTTCAACCAGCCAATCGTAATGTTTGTGGGCTAGGGTGAAAAACCTAAAATTTATAAATTCAATGTAGGTAATTTGCAGAACTGGAAAGGATACGGTATCAACATCAATGGCGAGTACATCACTCACCTTCGATTTGCCGACGATATAGTCCTTATGGCAGAATCGCTGGAGGACCTAAGCACTATGCTCAATGACCTCAATAGTGTTTCCCAACGGATAGGTCTTAAGATGAACATGGACAAAACTAAGATCATGTTTAATGTCCATGTCACACCTTTGCCGGTAGTTGTTGGGAACACTAAGCTCGAAGTTGTTGACGAGTATGTTTACCTGGGACAAATAGTCCGACTAGGTAAGTCCAACTTCGACCAAGAGGTCAATCGACGGATTCAACTCGGTTGGGCAGCGTTCGGGAAATTACGGCGCATCTTCTCCTCAGGTATACCTCAAACCTTGAAAACGAGACTGTACACCCAGTGCGTGTTGCCAGTGATGACATACGGAACTGAGACGTGGTCCTTCACTGCTGGCCGGATGAGGAAGCTCAAGGTCGCTCAGCGAGCCATGGAGAGGGCTATGCTCGAAGTTTTTCTGCGTGATAAACTTAGGAATGAGGATATCCGCAGTAGAACCAGAGTAACCGACATAGCCCAACGGATTAGTAAGCTGAAGTGGCAATGGGCCGGCCATATAGCTCGAAGAACCGACAACCGATGGGGAAGAAAGGTTCTCGAGTGGCAGCCTCGTACCGGTAGGCGAAGTGTTGGGCGTCCCCCCACGAGATGGAGTGACGACCTGGTAAGACATGCAGGAAGTCGATGGATGCAGGTGGCTCAGGACCGTGCTTTGTGGCATTCTTTGGGGGAGGCCTGTGTTCAGCAGTGGACTTGTGAAGGGCTGTAATGATGATGATGATGATGATGAATTTGCAGAAAATGTATATATGATATCATCTTTTGGATTCCATGAATAAAACTCGTATACTATGTATTTGAAATACTTGTATCTATAATATAAAAAATAAATCGCTGAATGTGTTGCTAAACGAGAGCAGCAGAGAGAGCAGCTGAACTGATTTCGCTAATTCTTTTTTTATAATATACCTTGATATACGAAGATGGTTCTTACGGAAAGGAAAATTTAAAAAATTGCCTGAAAAAGTCTAAAAACAACACTTTTATACATATATTCCCTTACAAAAGATTCGTATTATTACGAATCTTTTGTATGGGAATATAGACTTAAAAGTCAATTTGAACTTTAATACCATACCATAAAGTTTAAGTGTTAGTGGGGGGGGGGGGGTTCCGGGAAGGCAAAACAATTGAGTGACGTTAGTATCGTATAAATATTAATGTTAATATTTGTCAATATTTATACACACTGGTAGATAGCTGATTTTATAAGGAGTAACTTGGGCTGCTTTTATTTTAGGGTTCCGCTAAAATTAATTCCACGCGGGCGAAGTCGCGGGGAACAGCTATTTATATAATATAATTGTATGTGAAATAAAATTTATTTAAACATGTATTGAAAATTTTAATTAAATTTTTCAGAAATTGTTTAGCTCATGCTGGATAAAACATAAAAATAAAATTAAAAGATGTAAATTAAAATGTTTCGTATTACTTAAAAAATGTAAAAGGGTGATCTGATATCTATAAGTTAAAAACAATGAAGTCTTTTTATGAACTTCACCTACAGATCACATCGATCAGAAGCCGTCACTCTCAACGTGTTGGGTCCACCAGTCGGTATCGACACGGGAGTTGTCCATGCTTGGAGTGGTGGTGAAGCCAAGGTTCAGGCAACGGTGTGCGCTGACCCTCCGCCCGATGAAGCTGTATGGCTCTGGAGTCATTTCAGATTGGAAGTGCCTTCTCAGATTGGTAAGATATTTTAATAGAAGCCACTAAATTTATTTGCGACGGTTCTTGTTGGTTACCTCTTTAGACACCTCTATACTCACTAGAGTGTGACTAGTGGTATCTTTAATGCAAAAACAATACCGTTTTTGATATTTTATATAATAAATATGATAAATATGCCATGTGGTAATGACGTAAGAGAAACCACAAATATTTTTTGTCCGTGTCGAAAAAATCTTACGGTTTCCGACAGATGGCGGTATTTCAACCAACTTGTTAACGTCAGACGTAAAATACACAACTTGGTGACAGTCTTGGTATCTAAAACACGGTCGCGGAGCAGGAATTTTTTTTTGCTTTTCATTTTTAAACTTAATTTCCATTATAAAGAGTTTAATTTCTATTGCAACTAAGATACTTTTACGACCTTTTGTACAGTATTTGTGATTCCAAAACCGAGTTTATTCACAAGTTATTAAAGTTGACATTTGTATGAATTGCAATAACTTGTAATTCTTCCTGCTTCGCGATTATGCCATAGCACTGCGATTACAAGCGTGACTGTTAAGGCAAATCCTTCCTGCAATGATAGGCCCCATCCAGCGGTGGGCTTTTACGGATCGATAAAAAGAAAAGAGATATAAATGATAAATTAGAACGTTTACAGAAAGTACTAGTTTACTATTTGGTGGGACTCTTTTTCTGCCTAGAAGTTGGACAGCTGTTTGCAGTCAGCGTTGTCAAAAATCTAGAAAGAGTTTCTACTGGCGGCAGGAAGAAGTGCGTATTTTTAAATTAAAATCACAAAAGCCTAATTTTAACTTGAACTTCTGAAAGAAAATTCTCTAATTTTCATACGAAATAAAGAGAAATGATAGTGACGGCATGGATAAAGGCATGGATCACGACGTGGGCGGGAAAAGGCAACCGCCAATGGGAAACGTCTAGACCTGCAGCAGGAAAATGATGATATTTATGAGCCATACTACAAATTAAATTACAAAAGTGTTTTCTCTGAGTCAATGGGAATGGCTGAATACACGGTTTTATTGATATTCGTAAAGAAGGAGTTAAACTAGGCAATATGAATCCTTTAATGTTGGCGGGAATTTTCAAAAACGAAATCAAAGGTAGTCACTAATATAGGAAGAATAAATGCTTCTAAAGTAGGGGAGGTATTTGCGCGGGCGATTAACAACAACGACTTTATGAAAAATGAAAGCTTCTTAGAGAAGTATGGAAACAGTCGGGGTACTCAGGCATATTCCCAACAGCATAAGTAATGAAGAGCTGTTTAAAAAACTATCGTCGAAATATGAGGTCGTCGCAGTACGTCGTTTCAAGAAAAAAATTAATGAACAGATCAAACCGTTCAGTTCTGTAAGTGTAACATTTTTGTCAACCGACTTACTTGACTTTGTACATCTGGATTTATTCCAATATAGGGTGCATCAATATATTGCTCCGCTTTTACAATGTTTTAAATGCTTTAAAGTTAATCACGGAGTGAAAATTTGTAAATCAGTGCAACGTTGTTTAATTTGTGCAGATGAACATCTGTATACGGAATGTAAGGAAAATGTGTTAAATAAATGCATAAATTGTAGTGGCCCTCATGTCGCAATTTCTAGAGATTGTCCAGTAAAAACCAAAAAATTGATGAAAAATATAATAGGTCTACTTATGTTAAACCTAATAAAAATATGTCTTACAAACAAAATAAACTCAAAATTTATTACGAGTTATTTATTATTACTATTTACAATTATAACGAAAATTTCTCTTCAATGCCTACAAAAAAAAAAAAACAATAGATTCAAAAACAGATAGATAAATCACAAGTTTAATCTAATGACACTCCTAAAGTACACAGATCAAAGACTGAAACTACCCAAACTAATTCCACAACTAATAATGACACTCTTATAGAAAAAATATAACAAATGACAATATTTTGAAAGCAATTATTGGAGCATTGGCGGCCATGGGTAACTCAGGCCGTAAACTGACTACATCAAGTATAAAATAATGGCTTATTACTAATCTTAGAAACAATGAATAAACAATTTAATCGAATTTCACAATTTAGTAGTGGAGCTCTCATTTTCTCCAAAATAAATTATTCATGCGATATTTTTGTAACATAATATCATACCATTGCCTTGGCTACGGAAAAAAATTTTTTTAGGAATATTGTTTGATCAGTATCTAACTTTCCAAGAATATGTAAATAATCTATGTAAAATGCCTATAGGGGTCTCAATGTCTTAAAATCATTAGCAGGTGTGCATTAGGGAGCTGACTCAAAGTTGTTATCAATGCTTTATGAAAGTATAGTTCGAAGTCATTTTGATTACAGCACATTAGCATACTTAAGTGCAAACAAGTTGATTTTCAAAGAGATTAGATATAATCCAGAATAAACCATTGCGTATAATAACTGGGGCTATGTGCTCTACACCAATCCATGTAATGGAAGTAGTAAGTTATATTCCTCCACTTTTACTAAGAAGGCTACAAATTGCTGAACGGTTTTGTGTTAAATGAATCAGTTCAAACAATAATTTAGTTTTAAAAAAATACTTCCTTATGAAGTTCCTGAGTTTGATGATAGATCATACATTGATGTAAATATGCTTTCATCTGGTCGATTACCAAACATCCTAAGGATTATTTTATACTCATAGACCCAAACCAAAAATGTGTATCAAAGTAAACCATGACTTTTATATAAAACAGAATATGATGCTTTAGTGAATATTAATGTTTCTGTATTTCAAGAAAAAGTGAATTCTCAAATGTAAATGTTAAGATATCTAGCTGATAATGATTTTTATACAATTTATACAGATTTATCAAAGTCTGAAGAGTACAAAACTTCAACATTTTATGATTCGCAAAAGAAAATATCTAAAACTTTTAAAATGCACAACTTATGCTCTATTTTTACAGCTGAATGCTATGCAATCTACTTATCTATATTGTACATAAAAACATTGCGAATCCACAGTTTTTAATTGTTACTGATTCAAAAAGTGTTATATTAGGTATTGAATCTAACAAAATGGATTACAAGAAAAATTACATTATATATAATATAAGATACTTACTAGACAATCTTAATAAAATAAAGAAGACTGTTACCTTTATGTGGGTCCCTTCACACTCCGGGATAACCGGGAATGAGGAAGCATACATTGCTACTAGAGACTTATCCTTATTAACATGTTCAGATCACTCCTAAATGCTGGAAATACCATTTTCAGACATATATGCCTTGTTAAAAAAGAAGTTGACATCCTTATGGAAGTCATACTGCGAAGAAATAAGCAAGTCCAAAGGAATTTGAAATTATGAAATACAAAAAAGACCGTCAGCCACTCCTTGGTACAACAAAAAAGGTTTAATAATAGAAAATTTATTACGGCTGTAAACCGAATGAGATTTGGGTATAGCAGAATAGCCGCTCTCCTTGAATGAAAGAAAATGCAATTTGTGAATATTATGGTGTGGCACGAAAGGAGACCTAAACATCTGGTTTTTCAATTTTGTCAATTTGATTTGAATAGATTACTCCTCATTAATTCCATTCAAGATATTAACAATGATAAAGTTCCTGATACTCTTTAAAGTCTATTAGCTGATGAAAAATTCTTCCAACCATTATATTCCTTTATTTCTGGTAATAAAGATATATAAAATTGAAAACAACGTGATATTAATCAATAGTGAAAACGTGAAAAAAACAAACTCTATGTGAATCAGTGTGAAAGTGAATTTTTGATGAAGGTATCGTTCGTGTCATTTCTAATTTTTAAAGATAATTATACATTGTAACTTCATGCTCAAAAGGGCTAGAACCCAGAGCCGTAAAGCCAGTTATTAAAAAAAATCAGTGTTGTCAGGTGTTTTCCAGCCTAAATGGTAAGGAAAGCTAGTATAATTACAGACTGTTGGCATTCCATCTTGGTCCTTAGATGTGACAACGCAACTGTAGCCTTCTTTGTTTGAAGCTGGATCCAGGTGTCCATGGAATGCGGTAGCCACTTACCATCAGGTGGACTGTAAGTTCATTTGTCACTTGTTTTATAAATAAAGGCTTATTATTTCGCAGGAAAGTACGGAGCATTAGATATGGAGAAAATTGACGGCTGCTATCGCTATATTTTGTCTATAAGCTACGTTGAAGCTGCCGACGCGAGAGACTATGTGTTACATGTGGAGAACGAGAGGGGTTTTTCTTCCCTTACAGTCTCACTTATTGTGCATGGTACGACGGTTTGTATATAAATTTTTGCGTATGATAATTTTTATCGAGTTCAAAAAATAAGGAGCTTCTATATTCGACGTGTAATTTTTTAATCTTTGTTCATCGATTTCTCTGAACTAGCTGAACCGATTAAAATTATAATACAATACCCTTATTGTACATTAAAAAAACAAATAATATAACAAGAAACAAACAGAGAGAAAAACAAAAGGCGGTGTTATTGCTATACAGCTATTTCTTCCAGACAACCTAAAAAGGAAGTAAGAAGAGAAAACTTTTTTTAATGGGTAGAGTGCGCTATAAATAATTTTATTATCTAAAATCTATAATACAAATAATTAAACATACCGAAATTTCCTTAAAATTATTCGTATTTTTATTAAATAAGATATATGTACTTCAAAGGTTGTCTCTCTTAAATTTGAAGAAGTAATTTCACGCCTAAGGGTAGTAAAATAAGAAAAGAAATTTTTATTGCAACCATAAAGGTGACATTTTACTTACTCATCACTTTAAGCTGAGATATTGCTTTTGTATGTAATTAGGTACTCTGTCTAAGGCTTAGTTACTTAAAAGGGTAAAAATTAAAACTTTAACGAAAAAGTAGAAACATTTACAAGAATTTGTCTATGTCTTACATTTCACTATGGCCAGCTTCAGAAACTGTGATATATTATGTTTTTGTTTTTATTGGAAGTAAAGACTAGAAATGAGTTGGGGGTGACTGGAACTTTAGGCCTACTCAGTTTGAATAGCCTATCATGTAGAGAAGAGGTGTCATGGTTGAATAGGGGCAAAAAGTTCTCATTACATTCCTATAGGGCCAAAATGACCAAAACTAAAAAATTCAAAATTCTTATTTCGACTATAACTCTGTCTCCTTCGGAGGTTCTTACACAATCTTTACTTCCCGCATCTCACTAGTTAGAATTTAATATTTAAGTAAACTATACGATACTGACGTTTGTCGCTTGCGAATATTTAAATAACATTGTAGTTACATAACTAAAATTTGTTTTATTAATTCAATTTTAATTTTAAATCGCCATTATTTATTTTTCCATTTAAAATAACCCGCTTACGTAATAAAACTTACAAGTTTTTTAGAATACTGGGGCTACAAACGAACTACCAGCCCAGCTGATGGTAAGTGATTATTGCAGCCCATGGAAACGTGCAACCAAACTTCACACAAATTAATACATAGATGTATGGTAGCTCCTGGATTACTAAAATGAAAAGCTTTACAGCTTGTAATTACAGCACAACACAAAACACAGCATTATTATGCAGTAGAAAAAAGGAGGACCAAGAACCATCAGCAAATATTTGGTTGCTGATAACAGTAGTTTCAACGGTTTGATAGCGCAGTGGCTTATCATTTGTCTGCCACGATGCGGGCTGCTGGTTCGATTCCCTCACAAATAATTGTTCCGGGTCGGTCTGTTAAATGAGAAAAAGGAATAAAAAAGTATTTGGTTAATGCAACCTAACCTATTTTTAACGCTTCCGTGACGTAGTGACTTAGCATTGAGTTGCGGCGTCTAGGCCCGCGCGTTCGAATCCCGCACGGAACGAGTATTTGTATCGCCTACAAATATTTGTAGTACACATATTTAACAAATATATAAACAATAATTGTAGTATAATATATATATATATATATATATATATATATATATATATATATATATATATATATATAATATATAATATAAATATTTAAACAATAATTGTAGTACAATACAGAATAATACCCTAGTATGGTATCGTTTTTTTCTATAATATAATAATAAAAGAAAAAATATATATAATTAATAAAAAGTTATATATAATTTTGTTACGTTTGTTTTTTTTATTTTCAAATATAATTAAACGCCGTGAAATCTCTTCACGCAGAAAATTTTTCGGTAACAGAGACCATGCGCGTGGCTCCAATGATCGCTGCTGCATTGGTCATCTCAGCGCTGCTCGTTCTGGTGTTATGTTTTCTAGTGCGCTGTCGACGAAAAAGAGGTAAGTTATTAAATAATAGAAAAAAAGATTGATATTTTTTTTAATTTATTGTAGCATTGGCTACAATGCCTTTAGCCATAATGAATACTTCAAACGCTGTAATACAACACAATTTGTAATGTATTACAGCGTTTCTAGACCACAACTACAAAAGAAACTGTTAACGATGTGAATACCAACGCACAGTAGCAGCTTAACGCTGCTCTGTTTCGTATGGTGAGTGTAGAGAACCCAAGACCCTTTTTACTGGAAACGAGGCAACCACTTATCATCAGGTGGACTGTGTGCTCGTTTGTCACCCTTATCCTATAAAAAAAACTGTTTGAATAATAATCTAGTTGTTACGACGAAGAATTGAACTTCAAGAGTAAAAAAAACTAAAACAATTTCCTAGTAATACAATTTATAGTGGGGTTGTAATTATGTGTGTTAACATTTTAGTTAAACTACTTATCTAGAATTAACATATCTATCAGCACCTTGAGTTTTCGAAACGACAAGGAAGTAAATTACAAACATGTGATTAATTTCTTTACAGCAACTTTTTTAATTAGTACATTTAAATTTTGTTGTGTATTAAACACAGGGTTGATTTACTCCCTGTTTTTTGAAATACATACATACAATATAATATGCATAATTGATTTAATAACGAATATAATATTTCGATACTTGATTTAATGTAAAGCGAAGATATAGGAGTAGTTATATCGATTTTATATTTAATTTAAAAGTAATTTACTCACAAATATACCGAGGATGCCGATTGCCAACCGCCTGTCAAGCGTGGTAATTTAGTCACATAACCCCCCCCCCCCTCCCCTCCCCCTCCCCCCAATAATACAGTCTATGGGGAAGGCCTACTCGTATGTTCATCAGTGGACTTTATTAGGCTGTAATGATGAATGGTGCATCACAAATTTTTACTTTATAGTTATATTTATAGATCAGGTCAGCGAATAAAGAAAATAAACTTGTAGTATTCTTCTTCTCCCTTCTTTAACATCCAGTCACAGTCCACTGAAAATGTTGTGTATCTTTGTTCTGTATGGTATGCCAGACATTTGATACATCGATTACCAATCATTCAGCGTATCGTGGCGATTATGGCAAATCAGTGGCGATTGCAGTTATTTAGACAAAAATATAATTTACTAGCGATCATCCCCGGCTTTGGTGATTTCTGGATCTCCACAACAAAGCTCCAATTGTAAATTTAAATTATCCAGGGACCCACTGAAATACATTCAAAAATTTTATCAAAATTGGTCCAGTCGTTGAGAAGGAGTTCAGTAACAAATGAACGTACAGAACAATTATACTTAAGGAAATTTTTCATTAACGTAAGACTTTCTTTTCAGATAGCGTCGAATACAAGACTGATGAATTAGACAGGTAATAATAATATTAAGATTAGTTGACTAATTCTGAATTGAATAGATATCGTCCTATTGATAAACACGGCTACCTACTGCTATAACTTAGACAACTACATCTAATTGATAATATTGTGGAGTCAAGATCTCACTACTGAGCTTCTTTCTAAGGTCCTTTTTGAGTGCATCATAGAACATGCTTCAATTTCCGATGGGCTTATTATTATTTTCCATTCTGTATATAAAATTTAAAGTTACAGCCTATATGCGTTCCACTGCTAGTCACAGGCCTCCCCTCATATCTGAGACAGGTTTAGGGCAAGCAAGTGTTGAAAGAGAGGAAGTGCAGGTTCAGCATCTGCCACCTTCCACGGAAACTAATATAAATGTTGATGAAAATGAGATAAGCATGGATGAAATAGTGAAAGCGTTGAAAAGTATGAGATTAGGTAAGGCTGCAGGGTATGACAGGATTACCGTCGAGATGCTGAGGGCTGGACAGGGCCTGGTGGCTAGTCAGCTGTACCGCCTTTTCAATCTGTGCTGGCGAAATGGGCAAGTACCGGGAGACCGGTGCAAAGCCGTAATCGTGCCATTGTATAAGGGGAATAGGGTCACGGCAGGACTGCATAAATTACCGCGGTATAAGCCTTCTCAGCGTCGTCGGTAAATTGTATGCGAAAGTGTTGATTGAAAGGGTTGTGAATGAAACAGACGAGAAAGTATGGGATGCACAAGCGGGATTTAGAAAGGGAATGGGATGTACGGATCAGGTCTTTTCCTTGCGGTGCATAGCCGAAAAGTATTTGGCTAAAAACAAGAAAGTCTACTGCGCGTTCGTAGATCTAGAAAAGGCCTATGATAGAGTGGTGAGGAATGAATTGTGGTCAGCACTGTCCGTGAACGGTGTGAGCAGTATCCTCATACGAGCAATGCAATCTCTTTATAGGGATTCTAGTGCTTGTGTAAGGATAAACGGGGCATACACTGAATGGTTTAATATCGAAAAAGGTGTTAGACGGGGATGTGTAGCGTCACCGTGGCTCTTTAATCTGTTCATGGACAATTGTTTGACAGATTTAAAAGAGAATGAAAGTGGGTTGAGAATGAATGAGTTACTCGTCAAATGTTTTCTCTATGCTGATGACCAAGTATTACTTGCGTCTTCGGCCGAGGAGTTGCAGAAGATGGTAACTGCTATGAGTGGAGCTTTTGTTAGAAAAGGAATGAAGATGAATGTAAGGAAGACGAAAGTGATGGTGTTTGAAAAAGATGAGGCAGTGACAGACTGCAATATTGTGATTGAAGATGAACAAATTGAACAGGTGAAAGAGTTTGTGTATCTGGGTTCAAAGTTTACAAGAGATGGAAAGTGTGAGAGTGATATCGAAAGAAGAGTGAATGCAGGAAACATGGTGAATGGAGCTTTGCACTCCTTTATGAGCAGTCGGAAGGTGTCTAACAAGGCTCGTTTGGCTGTGCATGAGGGGGTGTTGGTTCCGACACTCATGTACGGAAGTGAAACTTGGGTATGGCAGAAGAAACATGAAAGCAGAATAAATGCAGTTGAGATGAGAGCATTAAGAAGTATGATAGGAGTTAAACTGAGTGACAGGATAAAAAATAGTGAGATAAGGAAACGTTGTGGTCTGAAAGAAGATGTAGTGACAAAAATTGAGAAAGGTAAGCTGAGATGGTTTGGCCATGTCGAGAGAATGAATGAAGAACGATTGACGAAAAAAGTATATAAGGCGAGTGTGAATGAAAGTGTTGGAAGGGGTAGACCTAGGCGGACATTTCTAGACCAAATCAGGGACGTCTTGAAAAAAGGCCAGGTTTTGACCTGGCCTTTTTTCACCCTAAACCGTAGAGCATGTATGAAGGGAATAATGAAAGTGGACGAAGCAAAACAAGTATGTAAGGATCGTAGCAAGTGGAAAGAACTGGTCTCTGCCTACCCCTACGGGAGACCTTCGTCTTCGAAATATATTTTTTCTTATTTATCAGACATGCAGGTTTTTCCTCACGATGTTTTCATTCTCCGCCAAGCACGTGGTAAATCAGTAATTAAAATTGCAATTAACAATTTCATTGGTGCCGGCGGGGATCGAACCCGGTTTGCTCGCGAACTGTGAAATTTACAGCGAGTGCTAACCGTCTGAGCTACCACGGCTCTATGGTGCTATGTTTTTGTAATTTTAAACTTTAAATAAACGATAAAAAGAGGATTTTTTAAAAAAAAAAGAAAGGGAAGTCAGAAGAACCTCATTTAAACTTTGTTTTTTACGACGACGATATAATTTTATTTAATTTCTTGGGTGGGGAGTGAGCACACAGTTGAATTATATATCTATCCCCGATTAAGAATAAAAATAAATGCAAAGATGATTTCTTAATTAACACGAATACTTGAGACGTTGAATCAAAAATAAGTTAAATTAAACGCTATACAATTCGTAAAATAGATTTTATTCAAAATCAAAATGTAAATTTGTTGTCACTCTTAAAGACCAAGAATGGTTCGATGCCAGTAGGGTTTCTAGTTCATGTTACTCACCTGACGAAACCCACAGCAATACTGTCTTACGCTGGTATTTTGCTTGAGATTTTTGGGTGACAAACGAGCACACAATCCATCTGAAGGTAAGTGGATGGTGTGGCCCATATACATCTACATCTGTCTTCGATTAATAATCAAAATGCAATGCTTCCTCACCCTTGAGAACAAAGATGGAATGCCTCGTTTCGAAGTAAATAGGGTCTCCAGTTCTCTCACCTCACTGTCACGATAGGTAACACAGAAGCATTAGGCTGCTATTATATGCCGGTATTCTATGAGAGCATGGTTCTTGCTCGATCCAGTCGCACTTTAATGCTACTTATATAATATAGCTAGGTGGCTCTACCACGTATAAACGTAGCTTCTGTTTTCTGTTGATTCTTTATCAGTCGATCTTACTCCTTCGTACTTCGTACTTAGTACAGTCGCGGGATGCTGCAGCGTGTATCTACCTAAAGGACATATTCCAATATTTTCCCCAACTGTAATCATTAATTTTGGATGGAGTTTAGAAATAAAAACCAAATAATGTTGCCAACAGTGATATCAAAGTCCTCCCAGCGGACGCCTTGTACGGATCACAGGCGACCTGCCCCATGAGTGAAGGCAACAGGCAAACTGCGGCTGGGACTGTATCCGTTACAAGTGTAGACATTACTTGCTCGCGCTACTCTCCCGCAGCGCTGGAAGTTCGCCGTGCAGCTGTTGTACTGCAGCCGCCCACCACCGTTTGATGCACGCGAAGGTGGGATCCACACTCTATACGTTTTCTGATAACATGTTGTTGTATCTTCTCATTCGATATTATTTATTTTATTTAAAAAAGTGACAAATGAACATATAGTTCACCTGATGTTAAACGAATGCTGTGGCGTACAGACAATGCAAATGTGTTATTATCCTTAAGGACTGCAATGGATTGTTCTATTTACCGTAAAAAGTGCCCTTGTTCTCGTCATTAACCAATTGAGACACAGTAAATTTATGCTGCTATTTCACTCTAGTACTTGTGAGAGCGTAGTTCCACAGTCGAGTTGACCCATTTACGCAAAAAAAATACAATAGTTTTTATATAATTTTGTATGTTCATTATCTTAAATTGATGGAATTTAACGATTCTGTGATTTTTAAATTAAAATTGAACATATATGTTAAATAAATAAACATAAGTTTACGTATTATTTACATTTAATAAAAAAGTTAAAAAATATCTTATAGTCCATATGATGGTAAGTGACTGTAGTCCATGGACATCTACAGCCAAGTTCAAACAGAGAAGGCTACAGATGTTTTCTCACCTCTGAGGACTAAGATGGAATACTTTGCAGCCTGTAGGATCTAAGATAGGGCCTATATGACTAAGATGGAATACCCGTCCGCCTGACAAGCGTATTGATTGCAGCAAATCCTTTCCGGGTCATCTTAAGTATTGATCAAAAAACATTAAGAAAAGGGAAATCATAAAGCAAACGTATTAATTTCATGATTAGCCATTAGGATATATTAATTTATGACGGACAAATTTAATAGCAGTGAAAGAGAAAAAAAGTATTGGAAATTCAAAAGAAAAAGACAAAATAATCTAAAAAGAAAAGGCAGAAGAAGAGTGAGGAAGTAAGAGGTTATGAGCTTGAAAAAAATTATATTTCTACCGTCAAATAGCACAGCTGCCTAAATTATGACGCTAAACTAAGATAAGCTAGTTACAGGCTGTGAAGCATTCCATGTCAGTCTTTAGAGGTGACAACGCAGGTATAGCTTTCTTTGTTTGAAGTTGGACAGCAGTATCCACTTACCGTCAAGTGGAATGTAAGTTCGTTTATCACTTCAGTTTTATAAAAAAAGTATTAAAAAAGCTTTTTGAAAAATTTACTTCGCAAATATCCGCGTTATAAAATAAAATGATGTGTCTTACCTAGTATGAAGGGCACCTCCCGCCCTCCCTTAATTGCGTGCACTATCCCCGTCACCACTAATTCCAGCACCGCTACTCCCAACACCACTACACTAGGCAAGACACACCACTGACGATAATACGACACGTGTTTCGCCTCTACACGAGGCATCCTCAGGTGATATAGACTCTACGGTAGCTAATCGCTAAGTGAGGGGCGAGCCAAAACAAGAGCCTTTTATACAGACCGATGATGCAACCGCTCTCTACCTAAGGAGCGAGCGACTGCATCATGCGATAAAACATCGTATTATTGTCAGTGGTGTGTCTTGCCTAGTGTAGTTGTGTTGGGAGTAGCGGTGCTGGGATTAGTGGTGACGGGGATAGTGCACGCAATTGAGGGAGGGCGGGAGGTACTCTTCATACTAGGTAAGACACATCATTTTATTTTATAACGCGGATATTTGCGAAGTAAATTTTTCTAAAAGCTTTTATATAATGGATTTCCGCAAAGTAACGCCTGATTCTATTAATTATAAAAAAAGTATTATTCATATTTTATTATAGTTTTCATTACTGTTATAAAGGGTAATTAATAAGTCATCTTGATTTCAGCCGCACATTTCTGACCTAAGTATTCTGGACTTTCCGTAGCAAGAATGGAATAAGCTAAAAGGAAATAAATCTCCAGTAAAACAGATCGCATGAGATAAACGTTACGTACTTAGTTCTCGTAGCATTTAGTGCGTTTTAAAATTTTGCTCAGTTTATTAACTTGCACGAATACTATCTATATGTTTTCAGTTTGCAAATATATATTGTTAACTATTGTACATAAATATATATATTATTTTTAATTATAAATTTTATAAATTAGTGCTTTACATATCATAAAATTAATTTGTATTTTTTAATAATAATACAGACAACATGATAAGAATAAACATTGTAAGTATCTGTGAATAGGCAAAGACAAATTTATATAAGGATTTGATTAAGAGTTATGGTGGTAAACTAAACAATATTATACAAAATAAATATATTATTTACAGATATACTATTTGTTCTGCCAAACATTAATTCTGGCACCGCTTTGTTCTGGACTGTATGGGTGTAGAGAGCCAGAAAAATTATAGGCACAGCCTTCCGTTTTGGTACTCAGAGGTGACAACACATGTATAGCCTCCTTCATTTGAAGTTGGCTGCAGATGTCAATGGAATGCAGTAGTCACTTACCATCAGATGGATAGCTGCATTCATAGACATCCGGAATGTCTTACTAGGTCAACACTACAACTGGGGGCGGGGGGGGGGGCTGACCTGTAATGCGCCTACCGGTACAAGGCTTCGAAAAACCTTTCTTATGACTTATGCACGTATTTATAGGAAGCTTAAGGTCACTTAGCGACCTATGGGAAGAGCTGTGTTCGGAGTTTCTCTTCGTGACAGATCTCGAAACGAAGATATCCGCAGTAGAACGAAAATATCCGACATAGCCTAACGGCCATTTTTTTAAAGAGAAACGGTACCTACTGGGATTTTCTCCTGTATCGTGGAGGCAGTTTACGTACATAAATGAGGGCATCCACGACTTTTTCTGCCACCAGGGCGGCGCCACTTAAAAGTGAGTTATAATATTTAACAGTTTTCATAGCGGGGAAATTAATTAGTTCGGAAAATGTAAAGGTTAATGATGCTTTCTGTACTATTACCTATATTTTATATTAATAAGAATAAAAATAAATAAACCAAACCACAGATGTTTATAAAAGTAGAAAAATATAAAAAGTTAAGAATGTGCAAAAAAAGTAAAGGGCAAGCCACAGACTCATTGTTTTGTGTATTAATATAATACTCGAGAAACTAATAAAGTTTTATTAAAAACTAACTTATCAATTAAATGGCATTGTGTAATAAAAAACTTAACCTCAGTGTCTACTAGCGATATTTAATTAGCCCTCACTGTATTAGGACAAACATATACTTGTTCGTGTCTGTTCATCTTCAACTGCAGCTGGTCTGTTTCACTATAGCGACGATTTGGCATTATCGCCATGGTCGACAGACTTGATTTTGGATTGGCGATCACAATAGCAAACAATTAGATTAATCAAAAAATAAAAATAAATAAAGAGAATTTAATGTACGTATATTAGGACAATTGTGATTTTATAACTAGTAAATTTAGATATATATATATAGCACCAAAGATTAGATCTTATAGATAAACGTGTACGATAGTTAAGGAAAATGTAAATGTATATTATTTTACAATTTTGACAGTGATAGTTTAAAAGAAGGATGCTAGTCGTCTGCCAATCGAACGACTAAATTATTTTATTCGCCCACTTACGGACAACATAGTTCGTAGTGGGGGTCATAATTGATGAGTAGCCGGTACTTATCGAACTATGTAGTTTTCATTATGTTCAAAAAACAAAGAACAACTCACTGTTGTTAATCATACGATAATCGTATAAATAAAAAATACTTATTCGTCCGACAATTTTTAAAATTAAAAAGTTTACATAATTCTTTCATTAGTATATTGTAACTTATTTATGGTTAACGTTTATATCACTATAATGTACGCACCTCAACCTACTGTTTCTGATATTGCAATATTGGTGTAATGTTTTATTAAACGCAAATAGCCTAATTATAGGATAAGTAAGTATCATAGGTTAGTATCAGAGTATATTTATTCAAATATCTTATTATCTTAATTATTTTTAAATAAAAAAAATGTTGTTCGATTAATCGTATGAATAGACACATCCGATTAGTGGACGAATAAAATAAAATAGTCGTCCGATTAGCGTACGACTTCGATTTCGAAAACTGATGTTATAATATATGCACAAAAGTTAACATAATTATTGTAGTTAATTAAATTAAAACTAAACAAATATTTGTAGTACCAATTCACTGTTTGCAGAGTACGTGTTAAAATTTTAATATTAAGGTTAGTGTTAAACAAAATGTATGAATTCAATGTTAATTTACGGTATGATTTTATTTATTCATATCTATAAAAGGAGAAAATCGAATATAGCTATTAATGTTTATTTTAAAGTTAGGTAAATAATTCTTAATAGGTACTGTACTATACTATACTATAGTATAAAATAGGTATAACACATTTTAAACTTTTGACTGTCTACACTAGAAATAAATTTTAAATAAGTACATACAATGTTTCTCAAGATTTGTAATAAATAAACGTATGAAATGTTTGAAGGACTTATTATTCAATATCCTGAATCCCAGTCCCAACTTTAAAATATACTTAATAAGTTTATACGTACCTCGAAGTTTTAGGTTAGATTAATTGATTTAGTTTATTCAAATACTAAGATAAAACAATAGAAAAAGAAATCAATATAGAATTTTGTTATTCAATACAGATTGTACATATGTACAATCTGTATTGAATAACTATATATTTATTTAAGGTTATTTATAAATTTATAAATTTATTATTTATAAATATATATTTATTTAAGGTTATTTTAATTTTTTATGCGTGGTAGAGGCATGCTACAGCTATATTATAGTTGTAGCACGAATGGGCCGGCTCGACTGCGTAAAGTAACCACGCTCTCACAGAACAACAGCATAAAATACGAGTAGCAATTTAATGCTGCTATGTTTCGTATGGTGAGTGTCGAAAACCGGAGACCTTTTTACTGGAAATGAGCCTTCTATCTTAGTCGTCAGGGGTAACAACGCATCTGCATTTTGATTCTTAATCGAGCAAAGGTGTAGATGCCAATGGGCTACAGCAACCACTTAGCATCAGGTGGGCTGTGTGCTCGTGCATTGATGACGTGCTCGTGC